TACTCTTTTTTTAAGTTTTCTGTGTAACTTGATTTCATCACCTTAATAATGTGTAATATTAGATAAATAAAGTAGTTATTTAAGATATACACGTACTACTGTATGCAGTATAAATATGGTGCATGTTTTTTTTTAGTGTAATACTGTTTTCAACATATACTATTCAGCAAATAAGTACATATTTTATAAATCTTTTTCCGAGTTTCATTTCATCTTATTTTTCTTATATTTAATCATAATATGTTTCACCAGCACCAGAGAATTGTTTAAATACAATATTAATTTTGAAGGTAGCTACTGTATGTACAGTTGGAGTCAAAAGTCTGGAACACTTAGCAATATCTGGCATCTACTTGTGAGTTATATATACAGTATATGATTGGGATATACTATTAACACTACTTGTCATCACATATTATGCCTGAACCACAAAATGGGATAAAACTCTCCTTAATACCTAGGATCTTCGGGTACTTACATGCCAAATACTGTCAAGTGTTCAAGACTTTTGACCCAGACTGTACAGAGAAATTATGGCTGAAAATAAAGATACTATGATCTGTTAATACCATATGAAAAGTAAAGAAAAACTACAAAGCAATCAGTCTAGAGAGTATACCAGGAAAAGCTCAGCGGATTACTGTAATACCGGTAATAGAAAAGATGATAAATAGTGATAACCCTGTTAACTGGAATAATTGGTGCAGAGCACTTCCAGGGATGAGACATTTCCAGGTAATGAGATGAATCTCATTGTGATTGCGTTTTCAGCGTCTATAAGGTGTGCAGCTAACATCAATACCACTGTTATTTTCACACACGCAGAAGAAATTCACGAGGAAACACCAGAGGTAGAACTATTATGGGAAATGAAGAAGAGAAACTAAAGGATATCACTGTCAGAAAAGAGGATGTTCTTAAGAAGATAAATAAATTAAAGAAGTCAAAATCACCCAGGGCCGGAAGAAATTTTCCCTCGAGTTTTGAGAGTGTAAGGGACAGATTAGCGGACCCTCGTAAATTTATTTACAGAATCATTAGACACGGGAGTTGTGCCAGACTTGTGGAGACAGGTAAATTTAGTACCCATATTAAAAAAGGGAGACAGAGCATCAGCGTCAAATTACCGGTTGATTAGTTTGAATTCAGTACTGTAGTGTGGAAATTTCTTGAATCAATTACAGCAAATAGCATCAGATCGCATTTAGAGAAAAACAAATCAATCTATGACTCTCAACATGGATTTACAAAGGGAAAATCTTGTCTTTACAAATCTGCTGATTTTTTTAGGAAAGTCTATGGGGTAGTAGATAATGACAAAAAATACGACATTATTTACTTAGACTTTAGCAAAGCATTTGACAGAGTACCGCATCAGAGGCTTCTGAGAAAAGTTAAAGCTCGTGGTATTGAGGGGAAAGTTTTAAATTGGATAAAATCATGGCTCACCGATAGAACACAGAGGGTCAGCGTTGATGGTTTTAAATCTGAATGGGGCTACGTAACTAGTAGGGTTTCCCAGGGGTCAGTACTGGGCCCACTCTTGTTCACAATCTACATAAACGATCAAGATACCGAGATCAGCAGTGACATACGGTAAGCAAGTTTGCGGATGACACCAAAATAAGGCAGTTGCCTTGAGATCATGCAAAATGAAGCAATGTGAATAATTTTAGGATGTCAAAAGAATGCAATGATTGAGATAATGAAAATGCAACTAAGGTTACAGAGCATTTCACAGAGGGTCAATGAAATTAATACAGTTGCAGCAGTTCGATTAATGAGTGGGAATAGTGGGGGTAAATTTGTACAAGATATAAATTATGGTTTAAAAAATAAAAGGACCTTCTGGAGGCAAGGCAAGAGAGGATACATGAATGGATTAGTAAATATTATTAAAAAATTTAATCTGACAGACTGGTGTACAGCTGTTGCGAAAGTTGTAAGGATCCACCCCGGATAGAACAAGAAGTAGTGTTAGACATTGTGCCTCTCAACACTAAGGAAAGAAATCATTACATGAACCAGGACAGTTAAGGCCTTTATATGGGAATAAGATTAGTAATTTGCCTAAAATAAACACATTGCATGTATATTGTGACGGTTCAGTTGTGTCAAGTGGCAGGGCAGGGTGTGGGATCCTTATAAGACAGTACACAGAACAAGGTACTGATGACACCAAAATTGGACTCAGGCTGAGCAATTTTATATCATCAACACAAGCTGAGTTATATGCAGTGTTAGTAGGATTGGAAAATGTTATGAAGAGGAATAAAAATGCATATTTTTTGTTGATAGTAGGGCAGCTTTGGATTCTTTGAACAGCGGGAGTCAGTCTTTGAACACATTATTGGTTCATGTAGAAAATTAGTAAATACAATAAGGAAAAAAGATCATAGTGTTCGATTTGTATGGGTCCCTTCACGTGTGGGGATTGGTCTTAATGAAGCACTAGATATACAGTAATAAATAGTAAAAAGAGCCGCGGAAAAGGCCGAGATCGACATATTAAAACTTTGAAACACTTAAGGAGCAAATTGCGGAAAATACAATCAATAGATGATAATTTAAAAAGGAATGAAATATATGAGAAAAGTGAAACAATGAAACGTTACCATCATGTTCTCGTGAACACAAATTTTACATATGGGTAAGATAGGAGCAGGTGGAAAGATTGAGTGTACTGTATATGAGGTTAAGATTAGGATATAAATATTACTGGGAACTTGGAGCTGAGAGAAGTGAACAGGATAAGGAATGTAGAGTTTGTAGAACATCCAGATCCCATACCCTGCCACATTATATACTGGAATGCCCATTGCTTAATGTATATAGAAATGCCCAGATAAATAATGTTTAATGGAAGTTTAAAAATAGGAAAATAGATGAAATATTAAAGAAATATAGAATTTTTGCATCTAGAATGTAACTACAGCACATACTATAATTGATTATATGAGATATATCTGTATTAGGGATTTATGTGAGTCCTGAGAGGGACATTCCTGGGCAGGGGTGGGGATGACATGTCACTTCATCCCTTTGAGATGAATCGTTTTTTTCATCAAAAGTATCATAATATATAAAGTGACGGAGTTTATCTTCGTATTTACCTTTTCATAAAACATTTTCACCTAAATCTCCATTTGATGACGGAATAAAACTCTCAGTATCCACTTGTGTTGACAAACTTCCATGGCGGTGATTGGCCAACTCTCTAACATCACATGTAACTTAATTACGAGAATAAAAATACCAGCAATTTACTTACCACAGAGGACAGTTGCGACATAAGCTTGTGTTAAAATAATTTAATATAAAAAGACTACAAATTTGATCACCACACAACAGCCAGTCACAGCACGTCCTTCCCTCACGGCTCACTCAAGCAAATGGGTAGCTAATTACGTCACAATGAAATGTTATACCAAGGAAGGAATATATAGAGAAACCTGTACTACATTTAATGAACGTTCAGCCCTGACTGCTGCGCCATCTCTTGAATTAATTTTACCATAAATATTTAAGGTCATCATAGAAAACGTGTTGTTGTCTAGAGAACGAGCTTGTCGTTAGCGTAGACGCCTGTCAAAAGCATATACTGTACATTTTTATTCTTATCAGCCATTGTATAAACCTACATGATCGTCTGCTTATACATTTATATATTTATTTTTTTACGAACAATTATTATCCTTAAATAAAAGAAGAGGCAATACCATGTTGTACAGTACATGAAATAACATAAATAAGGGACCTAGGTGGTAGACAAATATAAGTTGAGAAAACATCAAAAGCAAGTGGGCAGGTAGACCTAATCTTCATGATATCCACAAAAAGAAGAAAGCAGTAATAAAATGACTAAGTTCCAGCTTTCAGTCTTGAAAATATATATAATTCGTTAGCCGCTTGGGTGGTCGGTCACGTCTTTGTTACGCACTTTTGGAAAGTACTGGGCACGTATTGGCTACAGAAAATACCTGTACCTGCGGGCCTGCGGCAGTGTTGGTCAAGTCTGGTCTTGAAAGAGCTCACACTCGGTGCCGTCACAACACACTGGCAGATTGTTCCAAGAGTTTACAATTCTTACTCCGAAAAAATTTGCCCTAACAAATTTCTGGACTTGAGGTTTCTTCAACCTTGAGCTGTGACCCCTTATGGGGCGGGAAGTTTCAGGGGGTTAAACAGATATATGACTGATATTGTTTGAGTGTAAGTCGATGAGAGTACTGCAGCTTTCTTTATTTTTATGTTTTCTTATGTTAAAATTTGGTTACTGTGGGCTATTGTCTACCAGGATCCATCCATTAGTGATGTTGACAGTACAGTTGGCAGGACTATGATAATCTCAGCTTATTAACTATCACAACTAATATTACATCTGTTACTGAATATACTGTAGCTCAATAACCGCTCTTAAGATTTTGATTTCATCTCTTATTCACTTATTATACTTTACTTTTTACTTTAAGTTTTTCATTACACTTATTTATCTTAGATGTGGCATATATCTATAGTTATGTGATTCTCAAGGTTGAAGAAGCCACAAGTCCAGAAAACTGTGATGGCAAACTTTTTCGAAGTGGGAATTGTGAACTCTTGGAACAACCTGCCAGTGTTGTGAATTTGTGATGGCACCGAGTGTGAGCTCTTTCAGACTTGACCAACACTGGAACAGGTTCAGATACATTCAGGAGCCAGTACATGCCCAGAGACGTGACCGACTGCCCAAGCGACTAACGAGCCGATCAATGGCAAAGAGGATAAAAAGTAAACTGGTCTTTGGTAAAAGTATACCTTAAAATTATCATCTTATCCATGACCGTCAGTATCAGCCACGTCGACCAGGAATTTATGTATTGTACTAGCTTTTCAGCACCGTGTAGTAGAGAGCTTTATTAGTAGTAATAAAGTGTCAGGGTGGAGCGGAGTGTGCGTGCAGGGTCAATCGTGCGCGCCACCACTACACTACACACCACGCACCCTACACTTAGCACACGACTGCCGCGTAGGACACTACGCCTTACCACGCCTCCCTGATTTTATACTAAAAGCTGTTCGACAAGTTAAAGCGTGAAGAGGGGAGAGGAAAGTCCAACTAAGGTCATCTGGAGTAAGTATTCGATACTTGTAATTAAGCGTTTTAATTTATTGAAGATTCAGAGATTAATGAATATCAAGAAGGATCAAGAGAAAGGGATTAATTACCTTCTATCTACACGCATCTTAGGTGATGGACGAGGTTCTACGACGTAACTACCTATCTATTTGATTGTATATTTCTCCTCAGACCGTTTCAAATCCGAATGTTCTTTTTGTCTGACTGGATGTTAAATTGGGTTCATGGGTCATTTTAGGGGGTTCTGAATTGTTATAATACTGTTTTAGAAATGTTGTCCAGAAGACGTTAATTGTGTATCTATGGGACAAAAATTATGAGTGTCATGTTAAATGTGAACTTTTAAGGTGACTGTTGAACATGGACAAAGACTCATCTAAATAGGGGAGATTTAAACATGCTGTAGGTTTCAAAAGCAGTGCCGACTTGGAGCCTCCAAGAGGTCCAGATCGAAAACATCATATGCTGTGTCCGTGACAGAAAAGTCTTACAGTCTGTTACATCTCCCATTCACTGGAAATTTCGACCCGCACGTTTTAAATTAACGAGGTTAATTCTGGTTAGGTTACGTTAGGCCAAATTTAGAGCGAAACGTCCTAAAATTAAAGATTCTTAGCGGAAATATCTATCACACCTCTCCTCTACTGTCACCAATACAAGTCCGCTTTCGCAAAACCAAGAGTTCCTTTGTATATTGGCACCTGGAGGAGTGTCGCAGCCAGAACCAAACTCAGCTGTATCTTATCACTACTTATATATTACTAGAGACTCTCAAGTGGCTCCTGTGAGTCTCATTCTGAATCCTTTATTACTTAATACATCCCTCATGTTACACTACGATGATTCTGAGTGATGCAGAGAAAAATTATGTGGTACTGTGTTTGTAGTGTTGTTTGAGGCACTGTGTTTGTGATATGTTTGTGGCACCTTGTTTACGGTACTGTTTGCGGCACTTGTCAATGGTAATATCTCTACGATACTGTGCTGTGGAAGTAGGGCTTGTGTGTTTGGTTATAGTGGAGTTGGTAATAGTGGTGGTAGTGGCGGGGGGGATACTGGTGGTGGTAGGTGACACACGCACATATCAACCCACACAGAGTGCGCGTCATGCTCACACAACAAAGCCATAAAACTCAGTCGATTCCGTTAAATATACAAAGAGTAGACGATGTGTTTACGTCAGCCATATTCAAGGTTCTTATACGAAGACATTTCTCATTGTGCTGGAATATTTACTTAACGTCTCTTGGTAGCTATGCAGTAATATCTAAAAAAAAAACTTGAGTTATTAGCCTTGGTATTTAGCTTTAATATTAACCAAGCATTTGTTCTTTAGTACTTAAATGGCCTTCAACTCACTGGGGGCCATATTCACTCTGGTACTATTCACGACACAGAGGCCTCACCTACTATAGTAACCTCTAACACACATAAAGCCACGTCCACAATGCCGACCCCCAACAACAGATGGCCATAAAAGAACCGTAGCGACACAGTCACCCGGGCATTAGCAGGGTGAAGAGGACGCGTTAGGAAGGGAGGCTATCAGCAGATCTAATGGGACTCTTGATTCCACTACAGCAATTTGTGAAGTGCCGGGAGAACTTCAAGGGAAACAAATGATGCCAAGCTAAACAAATTGGTAGTCTTTGCTTCTCGTATCAAGTCAGGCATATCTAGGTGTCTGTCGTCTCGAAAACAGATAGAACTGTATATTAGCCCGGGATTAGTAATTTTGGGGGACAAGAGGATAAAAACAGTTAACCTATGGAGGTACAGTAGCTAAAACAACTGTCTGTGCATACTTTGTGGGAAACATTATGAGACCATGGACGATAAATTTTGGTATATGAGGGCTGTCACTAGTCACACGTAAAATTTCGGGGCACCTGCACAGATAGTTGTTTTAGCTACTGTACCTGTACTCCTTTCTCTTTAGTATCTCAGCAGAAGAGCCTTTCCTTACGAACTTTGATAATGCTGACAGTAGTAATAGCTTATCTGTACTGCAGCCAAAGACAGCTGTCTTTGGCTTCACTGTGTAATAATAATAATAATAAAAATAATAATAATAATAATTAACGATTTATTGAAAGAACATGCAGCCAAGAGGCTGAAAATATAGTTACATAATTGGGGAATGGATCACTTGATTGACAAATAATATACAAGTAACATACGTGATACAAGGTGTGTGTGTGTGTGTGTATTAAAAAACGATCACACCAATTTTGACTTGACGTTGCAGGTGGTTTGAAGTTTGAACAATAAAATAGTAAATGAATTCTGCAGGCAGTAGAGGTCAATGGTTAGTATCAAGGTACTTCACTTGAAAGAGGTTTTTCTTCTCATGAACAAAATGTTAGTTATGTACTGCGCCAATCTCTACGTAGTTCCCCTTAAAGGGCCTGGTGCCAAGTACGAGCACCTGCAGGCTCCCGCGTCTGACACAGCCGCACCTTAACATATTCCTACAACATAAATCAGTGTTTCCATTTTGTGATTCACGCTGACGTCATTTTCTCCCTCGAAATTAGCTATTGATTTCCTAGTGTTTACATGGCACTACCGTGTGTTGTTGGGTGACGCCCAGGGTACGTGTATTATAGGAGGGTTCCACGAAATTTGCTCACAAGGCAAACCTAACCTACCCTAACCTTTCCATTAATGTTGTGAGCATTTGTCTTGTGATCATTTATCTTATGAGCAAATGTCGGCGACACCGTATTATAGCCTTGTTCCAGGGTGCAGTCACGGGACACAAAATGCCCTACCATATACGTACGGTCAAATATTACGATTATCTGCGTTTTATGTCAACAGTGTAATCCGAACATAATATAGTTTATGTTCACACAATTGCTTCACAAGAGTTTTGTCTGTGAAAATAGAGTAGTTTCAATAAATGTAGTTTCTCGTGTGTGTTCATACACAGTGGTAAATCATACTTACTATGAATCATATCTCTGTTTACCCTAAATAACAGGGGCAGCGGCTACAATGATGAAGGTAATTAGGATAACCTCGTTAGTCTTGTAACTAACATTCCTTTGAATGAATCAAAGTACGTTGTTGACCTTATTTCGAGCAAATACACATTGTTTACTTGGTTTAAGAGTCCTATTTATCATTACTCCTAAATCTTAGGCTAGCCGACAACTTGTTTGAAGAGTTCATATTTCTTTTGTATATTCTTAATTCTGGAAGTTTGTCGATATCCAGGTATCTACAAGATGTGGCCAAAAAGATCTGAACATATTAAATAATCTTAAGAAGCGAATCCAGGGGGAGTCCTGGGGGTCCGGACCCCCCTTTTCATCAAAAAATTTCAATACTTTTTCTTTAATGTAGTATAGCATTCAGACATTTTTGCATAGTTAACAGTAATTACTATTGACATTAGAATATCTCCTAATATCAAGTGCACTTGGCTTGAAAATGGCCTCAAAATGCCCATGATATTGGTCAGAAAAAAAAATCTGGGAACTTACAACGCCCTCCAAAACCCCCAGCTGGGTGGTGTTCACTGTGCTCGCCATGTTTGCTCATCCACAACTTCTTGGACCTCCTCTCCCTTTTGATATTACTGGATCCGCCCCTGATCTTGAAAAAAAAAAGTTAAGTACACCGGTGCGTGGGTTTCAGGTATCAACACCGTGCTTGTTTCAAGACGCGCAGGAAGATTTCTTGTAGTTTCTTAATTCTGCAATGTCAGTCAATATTAGGTCATCCAGAAGACCGCAAGACATTTTCCTTGCCTCGCCTGACAAAAGAAAACAATTATATTGCCCAAAATATAAGAAAAAATAGAGTTACATCACTTAATTCACCGTCGACGATCGTGATGCTTAACGCCTAGACGCCCTAGAGAAACTTGCTCTATTTTCATAAGTAAACAATATCCAGTTGTCCAGAGTACCCTCAGACATTCATCTTGCCATTTCTGGCAAAAGGAAAATCTTTGCATTGCTAATAAGTTCAAAAATTGAGTTGCTTCGTCTATGTCATCAGCGAAATGCCCAGCACCCCCGATTTTTTTTTTTTTTTTGCTATTTCACCTTATTTTTGGTGGATAAATATGAGAACATAAGGCGTTCATTTTGTTATACCTGACCACAGTAAAACTTTAACCTTACGAGTATTCTAAAAAAAAACATGAAACAATCAAACGTCAACTAAGGCAAGGCCGTAGTCCTTGGGCAAAATCTAGTCACCAGAGGTAGCGTGTGTCCTTACTGTTTTGGGACGCTTCGACCGTGTCAGGTTTCTGTTCTCCCTTCACTCCCCCTCCCTTACCTCCCTGTACTCTTCCTCCCTCTTCCTCCACAGTCTACACCCTCTCTTTCTAGGTCGTCTCCCGCTTGAAGATAATTTGTGTAACGGGCCTGTGTTCAATACGTCTTAACTATTTATACGTCACGCACACCCGCCGCACTCATTACTTACAGTATACGTATGGCACTCCCGGGTCTCATTCACTACTGATGACGGGCCTTGGATGTATAGCTAGATACACATACACAGTGTAGTACCAGAAACGTTGTCCAGCGTTTAGTTATGTAAAGTTTTAGTGTAAAGTACATAGAATTTTCTTTCTCTTAGAGTCTTTTAACTTTGTTTTCTGTAAAGCTAGGACACGAAGGTCCCATCTACTCAATCCTCTTTTCCTTATCATTCGATTATCTCCACACATTAGATCATCACTTCCCATCCTCATATGCAGTATATAAATAAATATATATATATATATATATATATATATATATATATATATATATATATATATATATATATATATATATATATATATATATATATATATATATATATGTGTGTGTGTGTGTGTGTGTGTGTTAGATTGATATGAGCTTCAAACAGCATATGTAATCAGTAATTAGAGTTATTGAGCGCCAAAGGTATTAAGTTTGCCACCTGAGGTAATTGGATCCTCAGTGACGCATCATTATGCTGAGGAAAGGCAGGCGTGCCACAGATAACAAAACACTATCGAGCTACTCCGTCGACAACCTCGCCACTAATCGACAACGCTCATCACAAATTAATACTGGCGCGTTCTTCCTTACACTCACTGTTTTTTTCTCTCCAGCGCCGTAAGAAAGTGGAGGAGGATTTATTTTTTAATGGGGATTAGCCCACCCGTGCACAGGGGTGGGGGGGGAGAGAAACCAATTGCACCATAAAAAAGGGAAACATCTGAGACCCTGTAATTGTGTGTAGATGAGGCAGAAAGACAGTCAGATCACCAACCTGGGACTTTGTCACAATTTCTGGGATGCCATTATGACATCAGACATTAGACAACACATTATGCTCCCGATATCTTCCCAGGCGGAAGTACCTCCCTGTTTGATAGTTGCCTACTTCTTACTACCTCTTGTGCGACTACCAATGTTTCACTGAGTAAGTGTAAGACACTAAAAAGTTCTTGCTATATACGCATATTGTTCGTCAAGCCGAGAAGCGTCTGCTTTATCCCGACCTCGAACATGTGCTGCATCTTGAAACGTAACTTTACGTAACCTAGTTTAACTAACCCAATATACCCCGAATGTACTATAACCTCCCCTAACCTAACCTAATTAAGTTACCTTACTCTTAACTTATCCTAAACATAACTTAACCATATCATTTGCTGAGTTCGGGTCCGGGGTTCAATATCGCCGGGAAAGTTGTGTATATATGTATAATGATTTTCTGGACGTTGTGTTAGGGAGAAGTGAGCTCATTCAGCGAATAATTTAGCGAGGCTTTATTTTGTGACCGCACGATGTAAAGGCTGTGTTAAGTCTGGCACGTGAATGTGCTGTATAAAAATAGTACATTCTGTTTCTGTGACATACAGACCACACGTCAAACATAGTGCCAGTGTACCCGTAAAAGTAGGTACGGTATCTGTGTGTGCGTGTCATCTGGCATGCGTGGTCTCCTTGATCACCCAAATGAAGGAGACTTCGAGAGGCTACTGGTGAGAAACACACGAAGGAGACAACCAGAGGCTATTACTAAGATACCATTGAGGAGAGACGAGCGGGTAGGAACGCCGTGTTATGTTACTGAGGAAGCTACAGTATTGGTCTAGGAACGAGACAGCTGTGGTGTGGAGACGATGGCTAAATATTACGGAGAGCCTGTAAATACCAGAGATTTTTCTAATTCTTTTTTAGTAATAATCTATCCTCACCTAACCTGAACCAACCAAACCAAACCTAATCTGACCTGACATAATCTAACCTATAGGCTAACCTATCTTGACATAAAATAAAAGGAAGAAGAAGAATAAGATGATTTTTAAATAATATATAGTATACTGGTCGATATATATATATGTATACAGTAAATATTACCCTGTCTATAAAATATACGTAGACTAAATAACTTTTCAAAGGTTATCACAATTCTAACTGGGCTTCTATGCTGAGGATTCATTGATATTTAAGCTTGTCGCAATTGAATAATGTTGCTGTGTATTGGCAAGCTGACAGAAATGCACTAAATGAATTAACATTAAATCACAAGTTATCAATATCATATTTATTTTACAGTTTGTGCTTAGGAGAGCTGGTTTGGTGAATACGATGGAGCAGTGTGAGGAGTGTGTGGTGGTGTGCGTAGCGAGGGAGAGATGATGACGGGTGTATTAGTGATGAATAAGTGTGTGTGTGTGTGGAACGTGTTTTTACAGCTATACTTCTCCCTCTCTCTCTGACACACACACACACACACACACACACACACACACACTCACGCGCGCGCGCGGTCAGATAATCGGTTGACATACGAGTGATAACTAACAAACGGCTGATAATGAAACTTGCAAAGACAAACGGTTGAAATATATACCATTATGACATCACGACTCGCCAGGGACTGTTTATTGTGGCGTGGCGAAGTATTATACTGTACCGTAATAATTCACGAAGGTACATAAGAGTGCTGAATATATACAGGTAAAGAACCATCACCTGCACGTCTCTAGCCAGTCACTCGTCAGGGACTCCAACCCAACACGGCTCCAATCAATACATTCTGGCTGAAATAAATACCTGAGTGACAACAACCTGAGATGTTACCTGAAGTTAGGCCAACAGTTCTTGTCTTCTTCAAAACTTGTTCTTCTTATGAGTAATGTCCAAATGTCGCCACTGAAAGACCTCAAACTTGTAAGAAAAGACGAGAAAGTTGTACACCAAACTCTGTGACGATTCAACAGTGGCCGAGGAACTAGAGGTCAAGTATATAATATTAAAGTAGTGACCCCTGTGAGTGTTATTTATGTGTTATTTATGATCATGGTTGTCTGGTGATGTTTGGCCTTCCACCAATACTGCTTTCCAGACACACGAAGGCACACATACTAGATAACTATTGGTCAAACTCTTCACAACAATAAATGTAAACTAATATTTCAGTAAACGTTGATTTTATTACTAATGTTAATGTCGATAAAGAGTTATCATACGGATATTTTTTTACGTTAATTTCAGGAATTACAGCGGGTGTACGATAGCAGTGCATGTGAGTGTGGAGTGGAGGTGTCAGGGTGGTGAACGGCTGACGTGTAGTGGTGGAGAGAGCGCCTCAGTCAACATCACCACCTTAACCAAAACACGAGCAACACCACCACCACCATCAACACCACCCGAGCCAGTACACGCCCAACAACATCACCAACAGCACCAACGAGATGAGGGTTCTCCTAGCTGCGCCACTTTCCTGTCTTCTCCTGCTGGTGCCGACAGCCCTCGCTCAGATCACCATAGGTAAATGTTCAAATGCTCAGGATCGAGGTACAGTACATGTTCTTGGAAATTATGAAGGATGATATCTGACAGCAACTTTTCAATGTTTTCTAACTTACTCAATGGCTAGTGTTTCCTCAGGAGAATCAATGTTTCCTTGAAGACCAAGTCAACATTGTTGCTCCTCTGGGGGTACCGTTTAACGTGGCATCCGTTACTCGACCTCACACACACACACACACACACACACACACTTAAATACTATTAAGTTCCAGTCAACCAAAAGTCTATATAAGGAGGTGTATCAACTGCTTGGGGTTACGACCTGAGTTTCTTCCTGTCGAATAATGAAGACAGGGTAACGTAATTTTAAGCAAGTTGCTACGTCGACCATGAAGAGTTAAATACAGTAAAATCACAAAGGAATATCTCGTTTCGTGTCTTGCAGTGAGCATTTTAGACGAGTCGCTGCAAGAGGGTGTGAGCTGGTTGGAGGAGGCCGTGTCGCAGGCACAGAGGAAGACGGGCCTGAGCCTCTCGCAAGAAATAGTCAAGGTGTCACTCGACAATGAGAACGACGGCAAGGATAAACGTAAGGCTGGGTTTAAGTCAGTAGATAGGTAAAGTAAACCAGGTGCTGTATAAGGCTGTGTGTAGTAGTACAGTAATAAAAAGATAAGTTCCAGACATTACGTACTAATACAAACTAGTTAAAAGTCAGTATAGTATATTGTTTTGAAGTAAACCAAGAAAAATACCGTATACAGTGTACAGTAACTAAAGCAACTATCTGTGCAGGTGGGGGTCGATATGCTCCAAAATTTTACGTATGACTAGCGACAGCCATCATATACCAAAATTTATCGTCCATGGTCTCATATTGTTTCCCACAAAGTATGCACAGACAGTTGTTTTGGCTACTGTACAGTTACACCCGGTTTTAAAGTGTACAGTAAGCAAGGTATCAGCCAGTATCAGCACAGTAAACTTGTATGAGCCAGCATATGTGACGATTACAGTGTGCTCGGCGCTGTATAACGGAGTGGCTGTGGTGATGGACATGACGGCGGGAGGGTGGACGCACGCCCGGGACACCGCAGCAGCCCACGGCGTCCCTTACTTAAGATTGCAGGTGTCTAACTATCAGTGGATGGCCGCCACTGACGACCTCCTCCGTAGCCGCAACGCCACGGACGCTGCCCTCATCTTTGGCTCGGAGGCCCGTGAGTATGATCTTATCTCCACCCCATCCTCTTGGCACCACATCCCTTGCTACCTAACCACCAGAATTGTCTTTTATCGATCTCTTCTCTTTATTCATCGTTATTATCCTTCTGCGTCTATCTAACCTTTATTTTCTAGTCGCCTACATCGCTTCCAACTCTTCTTTCCTCATACCCTCCATTATCCTCCGTTACGTGATCGGTCATTTATGTTCCTCCTCGTTCTTAACCAATTATGCTTTCACATTAAAATATTCCTCCAGGGTGGTTGAGGGAGGTGAGGGAAAGGAGAAAGGTGAAGAAGATGACGAATGCGAGAGATGGTGAAGAGATAGAAGGCAAATGAAAGTGAGAAATAGAGAAAAAATTAGGAAATTTAAATGTGACAGAAGAGGAAGGAGGAGGAGGAGGAAAGGACAGTTGAGAGAAATGTGTGATAAACAGGAAGGGAATTAAGAAGTGAAGGGTGTGAGGGAGGAATAGAGGAAAGAGATAAGTTAAATAAAACTGGGGAAAATGGGTGTAAAGGAAAGAAAGGTATAAAATGAAATAAGATAAAAATTAGGAAACAGAAGAGAAGTGAGAGCAATGACCGATGTAAGGCAGGGATGGAGGAGAGCATAAGAGACAAGTGAGAGATAAAAGATAACAGATAAGAGAGATAAGAAAACTAAGACAAGGATAGAATGATGTAATGAAAGGTGAAGATGTGTGTGTGTGTGTGTGGTCATCAATAGTCTCCACCTCAGAGCTGGACCAGGCCCTCTACTACCTGGTGGAGGGGTCAGTAGTACGGGTGATCGTTCTCTCCGGCGTCGACGAGTCTACCACCGAGACCCTCAAGAAGATGAGGCCCTCCCCTTCCTACTACGTCATCCTGGGCACCACCGAGGAACTCTCTAAGCTCTTCACTAAGGTGGGTGATGGGGGGAGGGGGGAGATGCTTGGCGGGTGGTGCTGTGAGTGACAGGGGTGGTGGGTGGGTGAAGGGGTTGGTAGGTAACGGGTGACGGTGACGGAGGTGTTAAGTGATAGGGCGATGGGTGAGTGGCGGATGATCAATTTAATTTGCCTCGTAGTTCTAAGAATAATGAGAATATGATGACGGTGAAATCTTTACCTCAAGCACGACCTTAATAATTATCTAATCCCATCCGTGTCATTCTCACAATTCTTACGCATCTTCTACTGACCTCGTTTCACCTCTACTGACCTTGTGTTCCCTACAGGCGGTACAGAATAAGTTGGTGACCCGAGACTCCCGCTGGACGCTCGTAGCCACAGACCACAAACAAGATGACTTCGAGTGAGTTGTCCGAGCCCTCTTGTTTACGCCTGTGAGAGTTTCTTTACAAAACAGAGTCGGGATTTGCTAAGATACTTACAATGATTTAGGGATAAGTTAGGTTTAGTCTAAGTTAGGTTAGGAGTAACTTACAAACACACTCCAGCGAGCACACTCCTACGAAAACACTCCAGAAAACACACTCTGATGAACACACTTAAGCAAACACACTCCTACGAACACACTCCAGCAACCACACTACTACGAACACACTCCAGCAGACACACTCCTACGAACACACTCCAGCAGGCACACTCCTACGAACACACTCCAACGCCTGTTCCAGAAACCCAATTTTCTTATCATTAATTTAGCTACAAACCGTAAGTGTGAGACCATGAGTAAGTGAGACACTCTTGCCGTGATTAGATATTGAGCAGTGTGTGGGCGGGTATATACTGAGCGGTGTGGGCTGTGTGTGGGTGTGTGGGTTGGTACTGAGTGGTGTGTGGGCTGTGTTGGTGTGTATTGAGCGGTGTGTGGGCAGTGTGGGCTGGTATATACTGAGCGGTGAGTGGTGTGTGGGCTGTGTGGTTCGCAGGTGTGGTGTGTGTGTTGTGGTTAGCAGGTGTGTGTGTGTGTGTGTTATGGTGAGGGAGCTACTTATCCAGTGACCAGTATGTGAGGCGCCAGCCCTGAAATATTCATAGTTGCCGTGAATAATAGCCGTCATTACTTGTGTCAAGTTGTGTGTGTGTGTGTGTGTATATTATTCAACACATCAGTGTATATATGTGCAAATTTTCTCATGTGTATGTTGGGTTCTTGCCTGTTTTTGTTTGTATATACTGTACGGAATTTGCATAAACAGTACAGTACATGTGTTTTAGAATTCAGTTTGTGTATGCACGGATATACAGTATGTCCAGAACATAAATAATTATTGGATGTACGTATGTGAATACTGCCTGCGTATACAACATGTAGGCGTGCATATGGGAATGGGAATGTTCCATGTGTATGTATGCAGGGACGAATATGGAAATGTTTCGGGTGTGTGTGTGTGTGTGTGTGTGTGTGTGTGTGTGTGTAGGGAAGTATGTATACTATGTACACATGTGTATATATTGAATGTACACAGACGTGTAATCGATATCACACTGGGCTTCACTCTTTGTTGATAATATAATTTATACAAGATATTAGTCTATTGTGTGGCAGACAGGCGAGAGTCGGTACAGGTGTGTGGTGGTGATGGTGTTAGCTCAGGTGTGTGGTGGAGGTGGTAGCTCAGGGTATGTGGTAACTCAGATGTGTAGTGTTGGTGACGGAGTTAGTTCCGGTTCTCACGTTAATGTTAATGCCAACACAACCACACATAAAACATCAGGCATGAAAAGCACTATATCGTTGTTTCACTAAAGCAAATACACTTTATACTCCACACTAAATCCAGTCATTACTAACTTAAATGTACCCTTTGTATAAATACTCGTTAAATACACAGTAATAATAATAATAATAATAATAATAATAATAATAATAATAATAATAATAATAATAATAATAATAATAATAATAATAATATATAATAATAATAATAAAAATATAATAATAATAATAATAATAATAATAATAATAATAATAATAATAATAATAATAATAATAATAATAATAATAATAATAATAATAATAATAATAATAATAATAATAATAATAATAATAATATGACAAATGCGACAATTTTATAGTGCAGACTAAGATATGATACTGTTTTCGTGTTCAATAGTTATGTTGACAATTTCGATTACATCTTTATGGAGAAGAAAAAATATTATATTTTGACCTGTTTCAATATTATGCTTTCTTAACCTAAAGCACAGGAACAACGTTCAGAAACTAATATCGTTTCCTAACTGGTGTAAGTAAACGCTTAGTAACTCGTTAAAGTTGTCATTTTTGTGCTTCAGCTTAATCAAACAGTTAGGGTAACTTATGGATCACGTGTAGATGATTAAACAGCCTAAGCAACCTGTGAAGTTAGGTTAGCGGTTGGATTAAATTTGGTTAGGTTAGCGTTAAAGAGTTTAATCATGAGGTGAAATAAGCTGGGATGCCTAATCTTCACGTAATTCCAATTAATTTATAAAAAAGATATAATTTCACGGATACTTTGGATTAGAATGAATCTGAGTGAATCGTTCCCTCACCACTCAGCCGTGGGTTGTTGATGGGGTCAACGGGAGTCACCATGATGACACCCGTCGAGGAGGTCTGCTGCACTGTCAGGAACCGCCAGAACTTCTGCGACTGTGACAGCCTTGTGGTACGTAGGCTCATGCATAGTATGTGATATCGTGTTAGTATGACATAATTGACAGTAAACAAAACATCGTTCACGTATTCTGGTTCACAGATCCCCAAAGAGCTGACAGTTAACACCATGCTGACGCTGACGAAGGCACTGAAGGCAAACGGCGCCACGAATGTGCAGGGAACGTGTGAAGAACCGGTCACAGATCCGCCCTCAACCGCCTCCTTCTACTCCGCCTTCCAGACGGTGAGGCCCACTCGCTGAGCCACCTGTGGGAGACAGCCAGGTGGCACGAAATGGGGAATTACAAGATTTAAGACAGTCACAAAGGGTCAAATGGGGTCACGGTAAATCTCAAAGGGGGTTGCACAGGGTCAAGGAGAGTCAGTCACCAGGAAGGTCCCAGATACGTGTCGTCACATGTGTTTGTCTGCAGAGTTTGTGTCACAATGTTTACCGTATAGTTTGACGGTATTAGTCTTTATCCGAAGTTGAATTTCAAGAATAAGAAGAGCAAATTGTATCCTTTAACTGTTGAGAAACGACACTCAATTTTGTAAACAAAAAAAAATAGGAAAGTTAATGAACAAGAAATGAATAATGAATGAAAAGAAAACTTGTCGTTAGCTTTTACCTTTACTCAATTGTTACATCTTTCTGTGTTCAGGAGTTGGGCTCATGGCCTAATGTGGTTTGGAATGCAGATAAACTACAGACAGTGCCAGAGCTCAAGTTCGACATCATAGCCATCAACAGCAGCGCTACCTCAGTCGTGGGCAGCTGGAACACAAGCAAGGAGCTGGTCCTCAACCCACAGTACGAGCACTCCCCCATCAGGAGGCACTTCAAGATCGGCACCATCATGGTAAAATACCGCTCCTGCCCCATTTTGCTCACATCTGTCCCCCCTCCTCATTTTTTCTCATTTGATTCAGCTAGCTGTAAATATATATATATATATATATATATATATATATATATATATATATATATATATATATATATATATATATATATATATATATATATATATATATATATATATATATATATATATATATATATATATATATATATGTGTGTGTGTGTGTGTGTGTGTGTGTGTGTGTGTGTGTGTGTGTGTGTTTTGTAAAGGTCACCCTGTGTACATAAGCCTCTCTCAGTCCTTGTAATTCAGTTGCCTCTGAAGATGTCTTGAATAAAGACGAAAGCTAAGGTACTCCATTGTTTCCCTTTTTTCTGTGTGATTTTATCAAGGTTTATCTTATCCACTTTTCCATTGTGGATCTACATGATATATATAGTGTTGTTGTCCTGGACAGTCTCGGCCGTGGGTGAGCCCCAAGACAGGGAAAGAAGGAGAGAGTTCGAGCAGTATTGACCCCGCCAACTACATAGGCTACTGTGTGGAGTTGTCCGCCCGCCTCGCCGAGCACATGAAATTCGATTTCGAGTTAAAGTTCCCTGATGACGGTCAGTACGGCGCCAGGCAGAAGAACGGCTCCTGGAATGGCCTCGTCGGTGACCTGTCTAATGGGGTGAGCTAACTGTCCAAAACACATTTTTTTATACAGATCTTTCTCGGTTAAATCCCTGTTTTATAACTTTTAAGGAAAACAATATACAGTACTAGATCGTAAGCCGTCCATAGTATGGGTAACCTAAATCATGTCGTTATATAACAGTACAGCACACATATATCCATCTCATGTTCCACTTATACTTTTCGACTTCCAATACTTAACGTAAGAAGATGGGATCTTACACCACTGAACCCTGAGATAAAATGCGTCTTGAGCAAGAAGGACTTTAGCGGCGGTCATTTTTCCTTTACAATAGTCTTAAGAAAAGCAGACACGAACATCTGAAGTAATAATCATCAAACAACTTTCTGTTGGTAGTCACCATTGCTGCTGAACTTTAACAGTTTATCAATGATGTGTGTTAGCAAACCAACTCACATCGCGTTGACAAATACTGTGATTACCATCAAAATATGGACCGAATCAATTGTGACAATGTGAGCTCTACTTAGAGGAGAAGCGAGATAGCGCAAAATTCACTATGTTACTTGCACTAAGGAGAGGCAAAATGCACCATCATTACCAACATTTGTGATGAATTATGGGAACCTTCACAGGCCACCGCTACTTCTGTCACATATTATTGAAAATCGTTACTGAGGCAGGTGTGATGCTCGACAGGTGACTGACATTATCGTGGCACCACTGACCATGACCTCGGAGCGGGAGGAGGTGATCGACTTCGTGGCACCATACTTCGACCAGTCCGGCATCTCCATTGGTCAGTGCATTACCCAGCGCTAGGTCCTCTCTCATGTTTGTCTGGATGTAATCTAATGTCTCCCTATTTCTTCCTGTGTATCGTGTGACTCCATATTTCCTCATTATTCAATTTTGTCCATCAGAAGGCACGCTCCTTCCTCCAGCATTTTATTAGGACGTATTTCAGCGCCGGTACCTTCCTAAGTGTGTCATCCAAATACAATACAACATGAGCAAAGTATTCTAGGTGACGTTATATATATATAGCATGTGTGAATGTGTGTCTGTGTTGCAAGGTTATTCTTGTTTCTACCTGTTTCTGTTATATCCAGTTCTTCTTTTCTTCCTGTGTCCGAGTCTCTTGTTTTTTATGCGTCAAAGTCGTTTGTTTACTATAAGCCCAACCTCTCGCTTTCTACACGTTGTTGTCTTTTGTATTCTACACATTACACTATCCTGTTTCCTGTATATCCAGGTGTTTTGATGTGTTTTTCTCGTCTGGCAGTGATTCAGAAGCGCCAACGGGAGGAAAACCTTTTCAAGTTCATGACGGTGCTGAGGGCGGAGGTATGGGTGTCGATTGTGGCGGCGCTGGTAGTGACAGGCATCATGATCTGGCTCCTCGACCGTTATTCTCCGTACTCCGCCCAAAATAACCCCGATCTCTACCCTCCGCAATGCAGGTTTGACCACCATCATTTTACTGAGTCTTACCACTGTTTATATAAAAAGAAAATGGAAATAAATTGCAACGGTAAATTGGGTTTTGTTAGTGTTATATATAGTTAAGTCAAATAAAAAAAATGCATACGAAAATAAATTCTAAGCTGCTGTAGATAATCTGTTGTCGACGTTCTCGGGCACCTTATTAGTAAATTTACATTCTCGTAGGAAGTTTACCCTGAAGGAGAGTTTTTGGTTCGCCCTGACGTCGTTCACGCCGCAAGGTGGCGGGGAAGCACCCAAAGCCCTAAGTGGGCGGACGTTGGTGGCCGCCTACTGGCTCTTCGTAGTGCTCATGTTAGCAACCTTCACCGCGAACCTCGCGGCCTTCCTCACTGTCGAGCGCATGCAGGTTAGAGACCCTTATCTCACGAGCCCATACTTCCACCAATATTTTATGTGAAACAATTATTTACCGGCTCTGGCAATAAATCATGGTGTAGCTCCCTAGCACGAAAACTAGACTTACTTCTAATCCATATAAATTGATTAGCACAGAACTGTGTGTGTGTGCGTGTGTGCAGTATTCCCGGGGAACCAGATTAGTGTCAGGCATAGAAAGTTGTCTGAGAATGGAGAAAAGCAAAATAAAGTTGTAGTTATATAAGAGTGTAGCTCAGGTGAGGAATAAAAAATGGTGAGGTAGTAGTGAAATGAGATAAGCAAGAGGAGGTATTCGAGAAGAGAGCTGTTAGTGGCTGAGTGCGACAAGATGCCGTATAAGTGTGGAGGAGGTAGTGAAAGAAGGAGGGAGATGCTAGAGTGTGTGGAAAAGGCATTAACGTGGTGGTGGGCGCCTCCAGACGCCAGTGAGCTCCTTGGACGAGCTGGCGGGGCAGAGCAAGATCAACTACACGGTGCTCCAGTCCACTGCCACCTACCAGTACTTCGCCAACATGGCCGCCGCCGAGGAAGAGCTCTACCGGTACACTCACAGTAAAACAGAGTGTTATGAGTAGCGAAAGAACTATATTTTATTGCTCTGATTTTTGAACTTGCACTGCAAGTTGCTTGTTTTTGTATTTTTCTTTTCTTTTTAAACTTCACAGTAGAATCACGCCAACAAATTTTTGCATGGCATGTAAATTTTTTTCAATGCCGTTTCTGACGTCGGTAATCAAGTTTTGCATGTGTTTTTTTATATAGAAACTATTTGGAGTGAAACAAACAAAAGATTCTCAAGCCAGACCATTGTGTAGTAGTAGAGACCGCTACATCATCACTGTTAACGGGATCTCCAGTTGTTACTACTAACTGTTCTTCGGGTTCTATATAACATAGCTTTCTCGTAGCTGTCTTCGCATCAACGTCCTCCCAGGTGCCGCGTAGCTCCTGAACATTTTGCTATCATGAAGGATTTACAATGCCAATCCTTGCCATTTCAGGCACTTTTTACCTGTCTTTCTGTAGTCCCACTTTATTTACAACCGATTAAAGTTACAATATGTATCCGGTACAACTATACTGTATTTTCATAAGAACAAAACGAAAGTGTGGATATATAAATATTCATGCTATGTGGGCGACTGAGGTTGTGTAGAGTGATGTTGAGGGAATGTCTGGATTCTTTTGGGTAGTCTAGAAGTAGAAGCATGTGGGCAGGACACAGTCAGTCAGTGAAGTTGGATTGACATGTAAATAGAAAATATACCGTTTAAATTGTTTAAAGTTTATTTTCAAAATTTTAAGATAATTATTATTAATGTGTATAATTTTTTTACTACAATCAGCAGATTTACGTCAAATGAGGGTCCAGAGAGAACTGGCCCGACTCATCCTGTAGTGTTCCAACATGTCACCTAGCGCCCGTCATCATTATTAATCCCTTGTAGCTGTTATCTTGTGAGCTGTGTCGCGGACAGAGTTGCAGGAAAATATTTCCCCCAATCGAAGCTAATGGTGTTAAGATCTAAATAACCTTGAAATGTTGGAGTTTTTCTCATTATTTTCATGTATGGAATTTTATCACGTGTGAAATTGTATGATTAGATTTTAGCTAAAGGGATTTTGCCGGGACACTATTATGTAGCGTCAGTGAAGTAGTGTGGGTGTCTGTGTCTGTGAATGTGGCAGTAGGACCTCAGCGGGTGTGACGCGTGATGGTGTGACTGATGTCTGCCTCTCCTCCAGTCCCCGGTGCAGTCCCTGGAAGCTTTAGCTCACCAGGCCAAGATTAACTTCACTACCACTCGGAACTCGGCCATTTACGAGTACTTCCACAACATGGCTAAGGCAGAGGACGAGCTGTTCAGGTAGCGGTGGGCCAGACACTGCCTCCCCCGCTCTCTTTTGTCTGGTGTTAGTCTGCTTCTTCTCACCTCTTTCCTTTTATCACCTGTCAGCTCTTACGTACACTCGTCTTATCTTCAACTTTCCTGATCTGCATAAACTGTGTATGTGTATGTTCTAATAATTTGTGAATATATTGCTTTGTGTTATTTAATTTTACAAACGACCTTGGGCACGGTAGGTAAGGAGGACGAGTCTAGGGAATCTTCTACACTGTATTCAGTGACCAAGTTATGCGGATGCTCACCGGTTTATTTCACAATTCCTTTTCCCATACGATCCCTAATAAATTTCTTTTATACGGTCATATTCCCGGTATAAGACTAAATTCCATTAATTCCTAGAAACCTCGCCTGACTATATTGATAAGGTAATGAATTATTAAACAAGCTTTAAAACCACAAAGAAAGTATTAATTAGTATCAACATACAGTACATCAGCTGTCGCATCAAATGTAAATAAACTAAATCATCTTCGAGCAAATTTAACTTGAATTCAACTCAAAATATTGTCTTCCGTGTTTTAGTTATTGTCGACAGTTCGGACACTCTTAACCCATTGAGTGGTAGGAGTTTCTCTTAGCGCTACACTACTCCTTAAGAGTTAATCGAAATAGGCTGTAAGGACATAAATCGTCAGTCTAGCTGCGGCTGTTAGAGAGGAGAGCAGCTCATTATAGTGACCCGCCGTCCTGAAACACCTTGTACTGCACTGCCCTGATATTTCTTTTCATGTCCTCAGTTACTTTGGGAGTGACGTGTTCTTTCAAGTCCAAAAGTTAACGCGTGACTGGTGAGCTGTAATATATATATATATATATATATATATATATATATATATATATATATATATATATATATATATATATATATATATATATATATATATATATATATATATATATATATATATATATATATATATATATATATATATATATATATAATATTGTTGATAAACCAGGAAGAACTCGCTCATCTTTTGGTCCTTCAAGAGGGAGGAAGATGAGATATGTGTATATAGTGAGGTCAGTCAGATATCGAATATTCCTTTTACAAAGACTATTACAGTATACTTTACGTTTTATTGAAATTCACCACTGAATCATTTCCACTATTCTAAAGGAAAGATCGCAGGTAATTCTAGATTTGTATTATACATTGTATATTTGTGTCCTATACTTGCATTTGCTTGTTGCTCTGTTAATGATGTACAGTGATACCAATGTATTGTACACCCTACATTTGCATGGCATTTCGTGTATCGTATTTGTTCGTTGTTTTTAAATTTTGATGTGCTGTGGAGGGGTGAGATGAGTAACTGCACGCAGTGCACGTTGTCTGCGGTGTCACAAGATTCAGAATACAGTATTGTGTTCAGTTCTGTGTTTGTGTCCTGTGAAACTGTTATTAGTCAAGTTTATTGTATATACTGTAAACTTGCATATGATGTCATTTGCTATCATTAGAAGGATAAAAGTATTTAAATTGTGATATTACACTTCAGGAACGTACGATAATATTAAACAAAATTAGCTTGCATTAATTTCATTTTATTCTTAATTTATATGCGTGTCTTGCTATCAATAAGGAGAATTTACTGTGATGACCAGAGAAACGATAATCAACCATCCCAAGAAAAACCTTGTTGGTCACGACTCTCCCTGCATTGTGTTAAGGGAATGTGGGGAGAGGGGTTATTGATGCGTGAACCAACCAAATTCGGGTTTGATATTTTGACTGAGGGAGAATCAGCCCAAGTGGTAGATGAGTGTGATGGTCTTATCATTTCCCTTACTCTGTTCAGGGTATGGAAGGAGCTCACCCTAAACAGCACAAGTGACCAGAGCAAGTACCGTGTGTGGGACTACCCCATCAAGGAGCAGTACACGCACATCTTACAGGTCATCCAGGAGTCTGGCCCCGTGGAACGCGCTAAATTCGGCTTTGAGAAGGTAAGACGCCAGTACGCTGGGGTTAGTATCAGGTATTGGACCGACATTCATTAGTTCTAGTCTGGATACTATCTAAAAAATAAGATCTACTTAAATTCAAGTTCTATAAACTTTTAATACAAGTTATATCATATTTTCCTCACTCGATAACTGTTATAAAAAAGTCACTTTGCCCTTCTCAAATAATGTGAATCGCTAATAAGTACTCAAGAGATATACTGGAAATATAATTATACACCTCGATACAAAAAAAAATCAATATGTGGGCAGAGGCGAATTATGAGGTTGCAGCAGAGACAATATCAACTATAAGACCACAGCAAGCGACCTCTCTTATACACAGGTGTTAAAAGACAAGAATGGAGAATTTGCTTTTATCCACGACGCGTCGGAGATCCGCTACGAAGTGTACCACAATTGTCTGCTGACAGAGGTTGGGGAGCCTTTTGCCGAACAGCCATATGCCATTGCCGTACAACAGGGAAGCCACCTTCAGGATGAGATCAGCAGGGCGTGAGTACTTTGAGACAGTAATTAAATTTTCGTGCACTAAGCAACAGATGTTATAAATAGGTTCCTTGTGGGGAGTTTTTTCTCCAGTTTTAATCAACGTGATCAACGGATTCAAATCCTAACTCTCCTTCACGTTCATATTGAGCTTCTCGCGTCAATACTTTCTCTCTGAATATAAATACTGTATTATCTGTTCTTCCTCCGAGCTGTCAACACCAGTGCAACTCGTTAAAAACTAAATTATTAATTCCTTGGTTGGTATTCTGACCTATTTTGATAAACAAATGTACTATCCGAAGTTTTCTTTGCTTCATTTGTGTGGCGTTGTGGATTTCAGAATTCTGGAGCTGCAGAAGGACCGGTACTTTGAGGCTCTGTCGGCACAGTTCTGGAACTCGTCCGCCCGCGGGTCCTGCCCCAACGATAACGACTCTGAGGGCATCACACTTCAGAGCCTCGGTCAGTCTCCTTCTCCGTCAGTTTCCACAGAATGCTTCTGCAGATACCACATTATACATAGCCGTTTTTCTTTTCTCCCTCAATATCTCTATTTGACCAATCTCTACTTAACTAAAAAGTCATAATGTAATAACTTAATGAACAAAATAAACCTAAAGTGAGCAGAGCACGAAGGAACTGCTGTTAACTTAAAATTATTGGAATCAAATTAATGAAGTAATGTGTCAGTAGTATAAGTAATGCGGGCGGCCAGCAGTCATCACCTCTACCAAGACCAGGACCGTTATGGTTTACCAAAAGAAACACTTTAATTTAGAGTATCGTTTGATACGAAAAATGTCTGAAATAATGGCAGTATACTATTAAATGACTAAAATACACAAACTTTAAAAGTACAAGGTGACAGATAGGAACAGATGCTACCGTAATTTTGGGATGACACAAGCTGTACCCAAGAGATATAATTTTAAACTTTTGTATGTGAATACTTGTGCGAATCCTGCCGTAATCTAAGTTTTTCTGGCTCGCTATCAAGTAAAGACGATTTCTTTAAAAAATATGACAAATACTGTATATCACTGTATTGATGCTGGAGGAAGTGTAGAGTGAGGTGATTGTGGTCCCCAGGTGGAGTCTTTATCGGTACCCTGGTGGGTCTACTGGTGGTCCTGGTAGCCCTCGCTGCGGAAATACTCACCACGAGACCCAAGATTACACAGGTTATATTACTAAAACTTAATGTTCATATCACAATTTATCACAGTCTGCTGAGCGCTGCCTCTAGTTTGTCACGACCTACATGCTCTGCTTCACGACCGCAGCTCGCAAGAGGGCTAACTGTTATTCTTCTAACTTGCTTGTGCATGAAGATTTTGGCTTCCTACGAAGACTTTCCTCAATTCTTAATTATTTTAGTCACTTGTAATAGGGATGATCTCATGAAGTGGCGGGTATGTTACTTGAGTGAGTGGGTGTCGAATATTATTCTGTACCATACTACCAGGGTGAGTAATGTCACTATCAGTTGAGATTTGACACCCCTTACCGTGTATTGTCTTGAACATACTGTAATATTGCAGTATAGTCTTCAGGGTCCCTCTATATATAATATGTATTATCTTGATGTTGTCACCACAGTATAGTGACTAAGAAGTCCTCCGTCTTAATATGCATTTTCTTGGTCTTGTCTTGTCACTAAAGTATAGTTACAGGATTCATCCATACTTATCATGTAAGGTCCAGGACTTGCCATACCACCTCAAAATAGTGACAGACGTGGTAGTTAATGGTCGGTGGGGTGACGGCAATGAACTTACAAGCTCTGTAATTTGGTTACGTCAAGGTCTAATTACTTAAGCCTTCGGTTACAAACTATAGATTCACACACACACTCACACACTATACGTGCAACAGGTGTGGGTGGTGTCGTTTTAATACGACAGGAAAATGTGACGCCGGAAAACCATCTTACTGTTGTATCATTGTTGTGGTATCACTCACAATGTAATGTGATAATCTTTTAAATGCTGTATATTAAACAGATACTGCGATTCATAAAAAATGCTTACAACATTCATTGACTTTTTGATAGATAACTAAAACTCATACGTCTTTAGATATATCTATATGTCATATTTTACAAAATCTTATAAAATATATAATTTATAGCATGTAAGGCCAGGGAAGGATAAGATTGGATATGAGGGTATTGGCACATAACAACTCCCCCCCCCCACCTCCTTCCAAATTGTTCCAATTAATTAGAAACATAAATTACCCGACAGGCCAGGGTTTTAAAAAATATATATATTAGGGCGAGCAGTTATAAGGTGGGCACTTGCACACAGCAGCTCAGTGAATTTGGTATTGAGTTAGCATTAAGGATAGGATGACAGAGTTCACTGGATCGGCAACTGTATCCCAACAAAACGTTACTAGACTACAGCCGTCAAGGCTCGTCACCCTCACTGTCGAACTGTTGTTTTTCTTGCATTCAGTTTTATGGCATGAAATTATTTCAAACTATTCTCACTCTCGACGCAACTTTTTTCTGAGAGGGTGTGTAGGTCAAGTGGTCAGGCTGATTGCACTGTAAGTTAGGAGGTAAATTCACCACGTATTATTAAGATTTTGGAATGTTCTCACGGTGAGACTCGCCAACCACAAGCGAATCTATCATTAAGAGTGATTACTGCCTTTACCACATCTTGCTACGTAATGTTACATACATTTCTTTACTAAAGTTTCCACGGGTGTTTAATATATATATATATATATATATATATATATATATATATATATATATATATAGAGTGAATTGGTCTACGTTTGCAGGTGGAGTCTTCATAGCCACACTGATCGGGTTGGCCCTGGCCATGATCGCCCTGGCAGCAGAAGTGCTGTACTACAAGCGCGGGGGCACTACCCTGGTGAGTGACCTTCCGCCCAAGATGGCTCTCAAAAAGGCCTCAGAGAAGGACCACATCTCTCGCATCAACGTCACCCCTGTCTACTAGTCCTCCCGGCCTTCTCTGTTACCCTTATTGAATCCTGTGGAATAACCTATTATTCTGGAAAAACTATATGTATGCATTTAAGTATATAGGTAACAGTTTAGTGTGATTCACAATAAAGGGTATAGGGCTGGGATGTCCTGGCATAGGGAGCGCTTCAGTATCTTGCACTACACATTATCCACATCATCCCACTTGTAACTTCTTTGGGGATGTGTGTCTCCAAATAAATATGAGCCTCAAGTTGATCGATTCTAGTGTAATGCTCATTACGAAATTATAATTTCTTTTTTTAAGCACGTATTGTTATCACGCTGAAACGGATTAACAGAATGATCTTTTTCCTCTGAGTTATTCTTTAAATCTTGATCGTTAAATATCCATGATTAAGCGGAATCCTCAAAATAAATATAATGAATATATGTAGTACAACGTGATGTGCATTGTATATGGCGCAAAATATCAATTTCAATTTCAATTGTTTATTCCTTGATAGAGGAAGCGGGATCCTAGTGCTGTCACTAGGTACCCCTGTACAATGACACCAGAAGCATCTGGCAAGTGTGACAAGTATATACAGTATAAATATTATAAAGGGGCTTACTAAAGCCTAAGGAAGGAAGGATATTCCTTAAACACATAATCAATATTATTTACGAAATATCTGGCCAGTATGGGGAGGATCATCGTGTCTCCGTCAGGGGGTCGTGGAGTGGTGGTCCAGCAGGCGTCACGGAAGCGTTGTGTGGGGACATCTTAGGAGGGGCAAAATATCTATATATTATTATTATTATTATTATTATTATTATTATTATTATTATTATCATCATATTTTCGCCCCCAGGCCCTGATGTGGGTCATAAACCTGTACCATGGTGTCCTAATTCCGAAAAAATAGCGTAAAAAACACATGCATTATATATATATATATATATATATATATATATATATATATATATATATATATATATATATATATATATATATATATATATATATATACAGGGTGATTCAGCAAAGAGTACATTAAAATTGGAGGATGAAATCCTTCGATAATTCTAAGCCACAATGTCTCTATTGTAAAATGTCAGATTGTGCATAGTTTCCATGTTACAATACATTTAAGATGTTGTATTAATGAGTGTTTATGTCGAAGGATGACCATGGAATGTTAGAGTATAAGAAGCGAAATTGGAGCGAGGTGATGGATGAATTAATTGAGTAGATGACAAAACGTGGCTCCGTGACATTTTCTGCATACGTTACTAGGACATTCAGGACAAGACAACAATCGAAGGCCCCATTGTCCTCAGTCCTCATAAACGTTTCCTTAGCTTCCTGAAACCTGTGCGTCTGCCTCTGGTACCAGCAGGGGTGGTGGCTCTGTACAAACTTAAATTCATTTGTCATGGTGGGTAGCGGGGGAAGGGAGGAGGAATGTGCTAACCGAAGGATCTTACGGTTCCTTCCTTAGCACCCAAGTCACACTAAAACTCCCCACCCACCCCCTTCCCGTTCTCTCCTTTGGGCCAAATGCAAGAACTTCTACTTTCCCTATTACGATGTTGTAGTCTGCTGGAGAATGAGGGGGAGGGGGGAGAAGGGGCCGTAGTGAGTGGTACTGACTGTATGACTCCTGATAACTGGTTACGGTGGAAACGAATTGATCTATACGTGAGTCGTTTTTCTACCGGTATTACTGATAGAACTCATGCCATCATAACTTGAATAACGAGCGTTATGAGTTCGGAATCATTTGACAAACTTAGTGTAAATGACTACCTAGTTACAGTGTATATTCATTAGTTATATTTGTAAAATGCAGTTTTCCCACCTCAGTAAAATAAATATTTTTATTTCGCTTATTTAAATCTTATTTGGTAATTAAACATGAACTAATTTTCTGCCGTAATTTACGAGCATTTTAATCTACCCTACATGTCACTAACCTTTGATACGGTATCTGCCCTTACCGTTAACCGCTATTAAAATACAGCTGGAAGTGTTGGATTTGATGCAAGACACGTATAATTGTTTCTAATGTCCATGTACAATATCACTGTTGATACTATTGTAGTAAAATGTTTACCTGGCTTGCCAACTGTTCCTGCAGACACCCGGGTACAAGTTCCGCTACTCACATAACTCACTGGATCTTGACTCCCATGCCGACAACAGGCAACGCCCCCACAGCACGTGTGGCGGAAAGTAACGGTGCTTGTACTGTGCAACGTAATTTACATAAAGGGTATACAACTTTTCTTGCAGTGTTCAGTACGAGGCACATGTAGTAAATCAATGTTTATATTGTACAATCTCACGTTTATATCAAGTGTGTTGACTATGTTTATGTACTGAAAAATAAATGCACGAAAACAATTATTTTGAATGTTAAGCTTGTATCTAAACTGTGCAGATAAATACAACTGCCGTAAATACAAGGATTGTCATAGCTTAACTTATCTGTTTATCAGTTCATGCTGCACACTCCTCGCGTTGTCATTCCCACCTATGTCTGAGCCGTTAACGGCACCTCCCTCACCCAGATACCCACCCACTAAACTGCTAAGACTGAGAGTGAATATCGGCGGGGGTTTGGGGAAATGGGAACACCACCACATAAACAAATCTTGCTTTAATTAGATGGTCTTCTAATTTTCAAGGATTGCAGAGATTTTTAAATGACATTCACTACTGTTAGCTAAATACTGACAATGAAAATTATCTTCTTATCCAGCTTTAAACTGATGGTCTTACTCGAAGTGTTAAGTACATACGCTGCTGAGTTTGTAACTCAAAAGTTATTAATTTCTGCCAAAATAAACATAAATTTAAAGAATGTTTTTCATAACTTTCACAGAGGGAAAATACTAAACAGTGATACAACTGTTGCGATGAAAAGCTTAAGCCTAATCAGTGCGTTGATAACCAAGAGTCTAGACATTTTCGGCAACCTTCAACCACATTGATCATTTCTTTAAAAAATCATCTGCCTGTTCTATGATCATTACCCTTACTCAGTTAAGACCAATACCTGTATATCTGGCATCTGGGGAGAAGGCTAGAAGTTTCATGGTTTCTGTTTGCAAAGTAGGATAAGGTTGAATGTTATATGACCATTGTGTAGTAGGTACCAAGCGATGTAATGCTGATAGTAACATTAAATACGATGTCTTTGTTTAAAAATATAATGAAATCAATAATACTGCGTTTACCTGGCATAACGAAATCTGTGGCTTGCTCGTCAGTTACCAGTGGAAAACACTTATTCAAGATATTTGACCATGATGATGGTAACAAAGCCCCCTTTTTGACTCTACAACCAGAAAAACCTGTATACGTTATGCCGTAAATACTTACTTGAGGCTATTACTGAACGCCTGTACGCGCTGAGTTACTAGCTGACAAAGAGTAACACCAGGGACGCAGCCACACTTTCGAAATGAGTGGGGCTGCGAGAAGCTTCAGACCCTCAGTGTGCCGCTGACGCTGGTTGCTGTCTGTGCTGCTGCTTCGGGACGGTCCCGATTAACAGCCACACATTACACGTGCCTCTACTGGAGACTCCTGGACAACAATCATCTGTTGCAGTTAGTGGAAAGTCCAGAGCAAAACACGAGACGCGCCACGCCGAGTTCAACCAACTCAGAATCATAATGAGGGTGTACAATAAACAGGAAAATAGTGGATCGTAGTTGAAATTTTTTACAAGATTAAGTGATGTAGACTGATATCAACACAGTTGCAAGAAAATCAATCATAAATATAACAATTTGATTAAGAAATGTAAAAGTCTCACGTAGAGTAAAAAAAAACCAATGAAAAGGCAAAAAAAAAGTCACTGCAGTGCTTCTGAAGGTAAAAATTCGGTAATTTTGGTAGGAGAGAATGTGTGAAGGCAGGTGAACACGGCACCAAGGTACTGTACAGTATTAGTGAAGTGTGGTACCTGCTCCCATAAACTGTGTGGCAGTGACGTACCATATTTGCTTTCGAGCACACAGTCTCGTCGCTCCACACCATTATGGCACATGACAGCAAGAAGGACCACATCTTCCCAAAGACTCACGAGGTCGGCCTGAGATATACATCAGCCCAGAGAGAGAGCAGAACTGGGGGAAGCAACATAACCCTGGAGGGCATCGCAATTCTACTTACACTCACATTCCTTGTTCGCGTTATTGCGGATATCATCAGCAGGGTGAGAAACGGCAGGTCACTCCGACGGTCAGCCGACGACGAAGTGGATATACTGTCCCACAGAGTAATGACGGCACTTTCAACTGTTGAACAGGTGCTGGGACAGGCGCTCCTCGACCACCCCGCTTAGGATGATGTGCACACCTGCCGGAACCAATTCTGGACTCACCTCCGAGAATACTCTTGTTACTGTTACTAACTTTGATGTACCTGTACAGTACTGTACTACCTGAGGATCTCTTCTCCTGGCTTAATAACCAAGTCCTGAGAAATATGCCACTTATTACACTAAAACTTTACTCATATAAATATATAAAAAATTTTAATACCCTTGTTTATAGTCCCAAACACTGTAGATTTGTAGGGCACCTATCATGTTTTGCTAAGGTTTACAGTCGTTTTCCAAGGATTATTTATTATTAACCTTATGTAACATTTAGATTTGTGATGGTTTATGAAGAAAAAAGTATCATAAGATATCCATGCAAAAGTTTACCAATTAAAAATCCAAGAAATGTGATGGTTTTTCTTTTCTTTTTCTCTTACAGGTGGCCACATTCCCAGCTTAACTTTTTACTGAATACAGTACTGCCATTCTGCCCATTATGACAGGGATCGAATTTTGAACACGTTTTGGCTTCATACGTTATTCCCAGGCGCCTTTACCTTACATATTTCAGTGAGTCGCCTAACCTGTTTTTGTTTTTTGTTTTTTATGGGATTAACCCACCAGAGCACAGGTCAATGACCCACATCAGAACCTGGGGGCGAAAATATAATAATAATAATTAATAAAAAACAAATATTTAATACAAATATAATATAATAATACTAATTATAATAATATTTAATAAAACTTATAAAATATTAAATAAAAATATAATATAATAATGATAATAATAAAGGAAAATAAACGAATACAAAATTTTAAATAAAAGCTCAATAATGAGAAACGATATATGTATGTTGTGTTGTCAAAATAAGAGAAACAATTGAAGCCCTGCAATTGTGTGTAAACGAGGCAAAAAGTCAGATCAGCACCCTGGGACTTGGTCACAATTTTTTTGATGCCATATGACAGCAGAGTCTACCATTAGACAACACATTATGCTTCCAATATCTTCCCAGGCGGTAGTACCTCCCTGTTTGATAGCTGCCGTGGTGGTAAACGATAGGAAGAACTGTCCCAAGGTTCCCACCTTGCCCAACCAAACGTTACCCTTACAGAACCTAACAACCTAACGTAACCTCACAGACCTTAACCTAACATAACCTAATCTAACAGGATATTAGAGAATTCAAGAAACTTCACGTAGTGAGATTTTGTTCACTTGGTTTTGTCATGGAATGCCAT